AAAAAAATTGAGGACAGGCACACACGATGGAATCTCAGCAACATTAAAAAAGAGGCTGTGGCTACTTTGAAATGCGTTAAAAGATAAGATGGATTGATGGATGAATAGAGGGACGGACAGATGGACAGAATTTGATAAAGCAAGACAGTAAAATGTTATCGGGAGAATTTGCATGGTGGATTTTTGAGTGCTCATTGGAAAATTCTTATGGTTTTTCTGGATGTTTGAAAATTTTCCTAATAAATGTCAAGAAGAATGGGATTGTGGATCTATGTTCTTTGACATGGAAAGGTGTTCACAAGATAGAGTAAGTTTCAAAACTGTACATTCAGCACAATTCCAGATTTTGTTTAGAAACAGAGAAAAAAGACAGGAAAGATACATAACAAGGTAACAGTGGATATTTCTGGAGGTGGTTGGGTACACTTGACTACAGGCTCTATTTTGTTTTTGCTCTTGACTGAACTGTTTGAAGTTTCTACAATGGTCACAGGATAATTTGAAATAAGGAAAAATGCCCAATAAAAATTTAGTAAAATAATTTATCCCTTTGTCTTTTCCTCCCCCACTCTTAACTCCAGCCTTAATTTTGGGAGAGCTCCTCATTGCTCTGAGCCTTAACTTTCTCATCTAGGCAAAGGGATAGTACTTGCTTCGTTGGAGATGACTGAGCAGGTTACATGAGGTGATGGCTGTGGTACAGCCCAGAGGCTAGGAGGATCAGTTTTGGAGCCAGACATGGATTTGAGAGCTGAGTGCTCTCTCATGGCTGCCCTTTAACCCGGCTGATTGTGCACGGTGTGGGAATCACATGGAATGAGAGGAAGTATTCAGTGCAGAGCAGGCACACTGTAAAGAACAGGTGTATCGATGAACCTGGACTAAACCACCTTGGAAGCTCTGCAATTGTCATACAAAAATTTTACTGAGGGTCCAAAGTCGACCTCTTTCTCTCTTTTTACCTTAATGCATCCCCCTCCTCCCTCAGACCCAGGAGTCTGGGTCCACACAACTCACGTGTTCCAGTCATAGCCTGTGGGTTCTGGGTTGCTGTAGACATCACAGTTCAGGGTGGCCCCACTGAGGCCAAGGTACCAGTTGCCATCGTAGCCGGAGATGGAGACCTCAGGGGGGTCTGGGGAAAATGGACACACAGGCTCAGAGACAGGGAGCCTTCAGAGAGCCCTAAAGAGATGTGTGATTTACATCACAGCAGGAAAAGGCCTCAGTGAGTTTGGAGAACAGTCTGAGATGGACAGGCCTGTAGGAAGTCTGGGGCAGTGGAGTTCCCTCAGGGGCAGAAGCCTGGGAGTCCTCGGTCAGTGGGGGCACAGAGAGAGCTCCCCAGGACCTGTCTTAGAAAAAGGCAGTTTTCCTGGGTGGTCTGGTCCTAGTATGTCTTGGGTGTCCTGTGAGAAAGGGCCTCATGGACACTCGTAACACACAGGAGCATATTCAAGACTCTGACAGGTCTTGCAGAAG